TTACATCTATACATCTTATTATTTTCAGTTTGAAAATAATTTTTTATTATTTAAATATAATATTTATCTACCTATAAAGGAAATTAATTATAAATATTCATATAAAGAAATTTATTACATCGACGTTTATAATAATAATTTAAAAACTTACTGATTATCAAAATTTATTTTTTCTCAGGAGAAACAATTTTTTATTTACGTATAAATTTGATATATTGAGGAAATAGGATACAAGAAGGAACTATTGATAAATTTTGATACTTAATTTAATAACTTTCTTAATTTAGATGTAATAAACAATTTATGTTTATGGAATTTTTGTCTTTACATTAATCTTCTTTTAAACACGTATGCCTATCAGATCATTTATGCATATTTCTGATATGCATATCAGCAAAGCATTTAATGTTTCTATATTTAAAAAATTTTCTATATGAGATAAATGAATAAAGTTTTTATTAATGTTAATTAATATTTAATAATTAATAATTAATGTTAATTATCCATAAAGATTTTTGATCATTTTCTTTCATAAAAGACTATGTACTTTTTAATGAATACATTTACCTTTCTAAAAAATGCAATATACATAAATTCGACAAAGTTTCAGATTATTTCAGTTGTAATATAGATGTCTTTATATTTAGACTAGACAATAATGTGTATAAAGCAGTGACAATGTACTTTGTTATATATAGTTTATTGTATTAGCATTATAATGTACGTATATGCATGACACTTAGATAAATGTACGTGAATGGAACAACTAAATCAAATTTGAAATTATAAGAGCAGCCGTTTATTTTTAAATAGATTAAAACTAATGCAAATATTAATAAATATATATAGTTTTATTCTGTTATCTCCATTGCAGCCCAGTTGATATAATAAACGAGAATACAATTAAGTGCAAGACAATATAAACAATTTTTTCAAGTACTGCTTTAAACTATTTCTTTACCCAACTTTAAGATTAATTTTATATATAAAATGTAGTTTCAATTAACGACAAATTTTATATTACAAATATATATATATATATATATATATACATACATATGTATCAGTAGGTTTAATTATAGAAAGAATCCAAATACAAATTTGAAGTATAAGGGGAAAAATAAACTTCCATACATTATCAAGTAATTAAAATTTGCATATAGATGGACATGGGTAAAATAATACTACGAATAACGCAGCGAAAGGTCACTTTGTACTTTTAATATAGTTTACAATTGTATAAATATTCTAAATAATGATATAATCATTAGTTATAAATAATAATGATTTGCAGCGTAACTAGTTTTAATTAGGATATTATTCGCTATATTTGCAAAATAATTGGAAAGCTCTTTACATATAAATTTATGAGCCCATATCATTTAATATTCATTTTAAAGATTGTAGCACAACATTTTTGTATTTATCAGATCATACGAATATAATGCTAATATTAATAATAAATTTATACTAAATTGCGGTTGTTTAACGAGTTTAACAAACAAAAAAATTAATTTAAAAAAGGAAATGTTATGATTTTTTAGTTTTTGAATTTTCATTTATTTTGGAAAGATAAATATTTGAATAAATTGCTTATGCCTGTATATAAAAGAAAGAGCAAAAAAAAAACAAAAAAAAAAAACGAAAAAACAGAAACAGCTAATATGAGTGAAATAATTTTCAACTAAATGTATTTAAAATCCAAGTATTCGAAAGTGAAGTTTGTTTGGGTATATTTCGAGGAACTTTACGCATACACCTCGTTGTTTATTTTTATCGACTCCTTATTTTTCTTTCCCACTTATTATATTTCTATTTCTCCTTGACTACTACAATACATATGCAGCAATATACACACGTTGGCGCGCGCACGCACGCATATTCACGTACACGCACACATGCGTCTCACTATTAATAATAACAAGTCAAATAATAATCACAGGGGCAAAGAATAAAAGAGATAAAGAAAGGCTAAAAAATACAGGAGAGCTAGATGTAAATAAAGAGGAGTTCCAGATCGCGTCTCACTGCTAGATGTTTCAAAGTTGACTGTCGTATTCCTGGAGTGATCGTGCAATGGGCGGTAGCAACGGGGCGGTGTGTCCGCGACCCCGCAACGACGCCTGCGCCAGTGCCACCCTACCACTCCCCGCTCGCTCTCTCTCTCTCTCTCTCTCTCTCTCTCTCTCTCTCCCTCTCGCTCGGCATCAGCCCTGTGAGGTAATTCAAACCTGCCACACAGTCAGTCGTGGAACTCGTCGCGAGGTGGATGCACGCGCGTGAGCAAACTTCCGCCTACTTCCCGTTGTCCATTCTTTTTTTTGTTTCCTTATAATACGCATACACGAACAGAGGATTTATGAAGTGAGCACTTATGTAGATGTTCAAAGTGCAGTCATAATTTTCAGTCCATGATCACGAGTGTTCGTGCGTGCCTTAACCCGTCCGAGCACAAGAAGCGCTCGATGAAATACGCACGTGAAAGGTCTTCATAATGAAGTGAAGTGTTCGACTAAGCTTGGGATATAGAAAAAGTGCTTCTTTAAAGCCCTTTTTATCAGCATGTTGAATGTATTCAATTTATCTTAAGAAGAAAAAAAAGAGAGAAAAAAAGAATCATGTGTATCTGTATAGAAGAGAGATATAGAATAGATTTCTAAAATATCTGTTTTATTTCATTTTTTCTTCTTTTTCGTTCTTTTTTTATTTTTTTTGAACCCAGCGAATTCGTTATTATTATAATGATTGACAAAATGATGCACCAATATAATACGAAGGAAGTAAACAAACTCGCCGTTATTACGTGCATTTAATCGCCGATTAAATAATAACATCATTTTTCATGAAATTACTGCTCAATATGATCGAAAAAATTCACCCATTGCAATAGGTAACGGATTAAGGAAGGGAAAAAATTTTTTTTATTAATGAATAAAAATATTGGATTTAAATCATCATTGTCGAATACGTCTTATGTGTGCATATGTTGCGTGCTTATCCTATACGTAAGAAAATAACATTCATTTTTCTGAACAACTTATAGGCAAATGTAATACTAATTGAAGAAAGATATTGCTGCGATGCAACATTTTTCTAAAGGATGCATCCACGATAATGATATTGTTGTGATTATTCCAATTCTCGGATAATTACAATTAATGCGTGGTGGCTCTTAATAATTACAATCGACAAAAGTATCTTTAAATATCGTCTAATCTCTATATATTACAGCAATGTATACAAACATGGGCCAATTTAGGAAAACAAAAGAAAGAAAGATCCAAAGGAAGCTATAATAAATTTTCGTTTTATTAATGCATTAAGGAAGATTATTGATAGATGATGGAGTATATACGGGCTACATCGTTGTAATGCCTTCTTTAACCACTATCAAGCAGTCATATGATAATCAAAGTAGTAAGAGTTAGATGTAAACGAAATGACTTGGCTCACCTTTGACCGTAGTCGTTTATAGCGATTCGATAACTCTGCAAAGTCTATAGCTACGTAAACTTTCAATATGAGTTTTTATAGGTCGGACACTAAGTCGCGACTTTTTAGGACTCAAAATCAAGTCATTTAAACCAAGAAATTTTAACGTCAGATATGTTTACAGTATTTTTTAACGATATAATTAGATAAATATGGAGGATTTGAAAAATCTTCGAATTCAATTGAAGTTTTAGCCATTTTGTAATTCGACAATCGCAATATATACAGTCAAGAGAAAGAGATATGATCTGTAAATCTCATAGTGAGTGATAATCGTGGCAATTTTGTATGTATCTACATATTTATTCCATAGATTTCGGAGCCAATCAAAACATATGTACATTTGCAGAATTGAGAGTACATAAAAACAGAATCTGTATACACTTATATTAAGAGGTACTTGGCCTTTAAAGCGTCAGTGCCGCGTTGCGAATATTTAATTAGTTTACGTACTTCTCATTAAAAGGAAGTTGAATTGATAAAAGAAAAAAAACATTAAGTGAGTTCGGAATATGAAACGCTGACCATACAATACTAAAACGAGTAATAGAGATAAGTAAATAACTAAATAGATAGAAAAACGGAAAAATACTCTTTAGAGTTTAAATGTCAAGGTCACGAGATATCAAACGCTCGTTACTCTTTAAAAATCTAACAACAACCACAAATAGCAATGTCATTTTACTATCCAGTTAGTTTTATCACGTGTGATCTCTAACAAGGTATACAGAAGGTTTTCAGAAAAGGGACCAATTTATTTTTTTTTTTCAAGAACGCGATATGGTTGTATTACTCTTGATATAAATCTTTTCACTTGTTCTCTTTACCCTTAAGCAACATATATGACGGCGTCAAACTTCCACGAATCGTAAATGGGTCGGTGAGGAATAAATATATTAACTGTTTTGCAGACAACTTTTCAGCTATTAGTACTAACACTGTTGCCAGCAGCTTCGGACAAGATTAATCGATGCCTTTGTACTGTTTTGGTTAAAGTGTTTTCACGAAGATGACTAGTAAAAACGAACTTTGTAGAAAGGTTCTGTAATACAGAAGGAGGAGCTGTAATACAGAAATAAAAGTTACGGTGGTAACGAGTCAGTAACGAGAGGAATAGTGGTAAAGAGAGAGAGAGAGAGAGAGAGAGAGAGAGAGAGAGAGAGAGAGGGAGAGAGAGGGAGATGATAAAGTGAAAGCTAAATCTCCAAAAATTTGAAGAAACAATATATCTTGTAACGTCTTTCTCCGACGAGCAATATTGAGAATATCAATTTCTAGTTAATAATTTAATGAACAAGGATCGTACATACGAAAATTCAAGAGCTAAAACCTAAGTATAAGAAGTGAAGCATAAACGAAAACGGTTATCCAAGTGTAAAATTCCAAGTTAATTGGAGTAAAGCATAATTTTTTTGTTTTTTTTTTGTTTCAACGTGTGAAACAAAAATTTGAAAGCTTATATTAATATCAAAATATCCAATAATATTGAAAATATTGCAGATGTTTCAAGATTATATCATACGGTGGTGACCGAGAAACACTATAACATAAGCGTTGGGCGAAAGAATGAACAATTTGTGAATTTAGCGGGCAATGATATCACTGTCAATCTCGAAATGCGAATTCTTAACGAATTTACTATTAGTCCAGTTTATGCTGTTGGACTTGCCACTACAAATTGTACATTCAATACCGACAGTGAGCTCAAACGAGTGCCACCCCTGTCAGAGTTCACATTTATCGAGGATATTACAAAGATCAAAAAACTCAAGATAGCAGCAGTTACATCAACAGTCTGCTATAGAGGTATTAGCTGGTACGAAGCCACAACTCACGATGAGCATTGTCGATTCCGGTAGTCCTGGTAAGGCGAGCGACTTCGTGGGTAATAACATGAACACGTGGGACGTTGCTCGCGCAATAACCAAAAAAGTAGCTGTCTCTTCGACTTCACTTTCGACAGCGACATCAGGTTTACTTTCTTCGTATGCATCGTCGCCATTGTCCTCGCCATTGTCATCATCAGCAATATCAAATGAACAAATTAAACAGCAAGTAGCTAGCGTAGACAAGAATATTCGAGAATCGGTAATTAACTTATCTACGGAAACGGTGCGCGTGGTGATCTGTACGTCCAATTGTGACTGCACTGGATTTTGCAAAGACTCAGCGCAAGAAGAAGCTATCGAAGCTGAAAATATCGAAACCGAAAATAATAATATCGAAATAATAAGTGGCATGGAAGTAGGCAAGGGTGATTTTTCGGGACAAGATAAAATGTCATCCCAAGAGGGCTACGATATGATTGAAGTCGAGGCCGAACAACTTCTTTTCGGCTATGGCGCAATGTCTGCATTTGAATCTACTTTTAATGGCTCCTTTAACGACAGTCTTGATTGGAACAGTAGTCTCTATAATAATACATACATTTTAGAAGGTCTTTATCCCTCTGGTTATGGATTGCCCCACATAATCGTAGCCTCGATAGTAGTGACCCTATTAATGATAGTCATTGTCATCGGTAATATGTTAGTGATTATTGCTATAGCCACGGAAAAGGCTCTTAAGAACATACAAAATTGGTTTATTGCTAGCTTGGCTGTAGCAGACTTTTTTCTAGGTCTAGTAATAATGCCGTTCTCCTTAGCTAACGAGATCATGGGTTACTGGATTTTTGGTTACTGGTGGTGCGATATACATTCGGCAATGGATGTGTTGTTATGCACGGCGAGTATTATGAATCTGTGTCTAATCAGTTTAGATAGATTTTGGAGTATTACACAAGCAGTTGAGTATTTAAAGAAGAGAACACCTGCCAGAGCAGCACTTATGATTGCTATGGTGTGGGTGCTGTCGGCAGTCATTTGTATACCCCCGCTATTGGGATGGAAGAGATCGGCTCCCGAAGAGGAATATCCTAAATGCAAGGTCAGTAAAAATTGTCTTTTTTTTTTTTTTTTTTTTTTTTTTAATCTTTTTACATTGTTTGTTAGTCTTTTTAGTTTTATATTAGTGAATTTATTATTTTAATAATACCATTAGGTATTCGTGCATCCGTTGATATATTACACAAACCATTGTATTTTATTTATAGTTTCAATTTACTAATATATCGACTGAATATTTTACGTCATTAGTGATTTATAATTTCAAATTGTAATTCTTAAGTATGAAAATATATAATAATAATGTCTAAATTTATGCTGATAAGGTTTGGTATAAGATAACATTTGTTTATGTATAAATTATCTGTCCATAAATTTAATTTTATAGTATTATTTAGCGGATTAATATTTATTTTTATTTTTCAAATTTATTACAAAAGCTTGCAATTTAATAAGAATAGTTTCATATAACTTATTTATATATTTAATTTAATTTTTCTTTAAGTGAATTAAATTATGAAATATGTACTTTTTTGGTATAAAGTTTATTAACTTTTTCATAAAAAAATGAAATTTAAAAATGAATCGATATTATCAATTATATTTTTCATAGACGCACGTTTTATTTAATTATTAAAATTTATATTAATTTGTATTTTATTTTATATCATCTATAAATTATTTTAAATAGAATGTGTAAAATATTTTTTAAAGCAAATTTATTATAAAGTTTTGTGGTGTTTTCTCGTTATGGATTAACTTTTAATGGAAAATATTCTCCACGTATCATCCGAAGTTGCTTTTCTGCATTATAAAAATATCGTTGAATAGCGTATATATGAAAAATAAAAAGAATAATGTAAAGATTTATTTATGATTGAATTAAATTTACACTATTTTACTGGAACTTTTTACCATAATAATAGAGTAACCTATATTTTTAGATATAATCTTTTAGCAAGTTAAACTTAATAAATAGGCTATTATAAAATATATCAAAAAATTGCAAAAGAAATTTGGATATAAAATTTTAATTTCAATTAACATAAATCGAAAGATTTTTGTAAATAGGTATTTAAAAATGTTTTATTTATTTATAAAAATATTAACGAGATACTGTGAAAACATAAAGCTGCTATTCTCATGTCGATTTATTTTTTAAGTTACGATATAAATTATTCATATCTGTTTATTTAAAAAAAATTTTTTTTTTTTTTGCTCTGGAATATAGAAACTATATAGGCAGAATGCAATATAGGCAGTACAATATTATGATTATATGTATTTTAGTAATAATGCATGACTTCTGAAAATCTATCAAAATTTTAATATATAAATATCATAGTTACATAAATAATCGAAATATAAAATTTTTATAATTAGATTAATTCTTCATTTCATAATAATTTTTCATTTGTAGAGTACCAATTTCATCTATACAATAATTTTTAATACAATAGTTTTGTATAATTATAAAACATAACCTATCTTTCTAATAATCTACTTAACATTCTAATGTAAGGTAATATTTTATATTTATTATATAAATATATTCTTTTACAATTTCTATTCTCATATTAGATGTGATGTTCGTACAATTATGTAAAACTTTGTTTTATCGATAATGATAGAGGTATAATATATTTTAAAATGACATAGAACTAATATAAATCTTTTATTAAAGGAACTATTTGAAATTTCGTATTGTAGGTTTACATTTCATTAAATATGTTTTTGTGTTTCCGTTAGACAACGACATTGTTAAGATTGAAATTCTAAAATAATATCTGTTTTTGTTGTACTTAAGTCTCGAATAGACATTTTTTTATTAGGAAAGTTTAATCAAATATGCAATATTGAAATTTAGATTGAATTATTTTGTTTCCGTAATGTTTTTTTTTTTAATTTTATTATTTATTTGATGCAAATACTAAAATATATTATTTGTTCGAAAAGAAATTTTTTATTATTAAATATATTTAAAATATACAAACTAATTACTCAATATTTGGATTATTTTTTATTAAATTTGCTTATTAATATTTATTATTACTAGAAAATTTTCAAAACAAAATAAAAACTTATTTATTAAATAATATTAAAGTATTTTCAAATAGATCGGTACATATTTTTTCATTTAATAAAGCCAAAATGAGTAAAATAGATTATAATTTAGATTTGATGTATTTTTTTTATGTATGTATAAATGTTCCAAAATTATAATGTGTATAATTAATTAACAATGATAAATTGAACATTCATATTCTATTGATTTTTATTTTAATTTCTTATTATATTTGAATTTTTAGCATTATATTTTGTTAAATAAAGTGAAAATTTGCAATAATTTATTCAGTTACTTTAAAAATATTCATTTTCAATTAATAATGTTACATCATTCGATAAATAAATTTAAAAATATAATATTACATAAAAAACAATATATACAGTAATATTAAATTAGATATGGAACATATAGGAAGTATTGTTAGAAATTGTATAGCGATTTAAATTTTCTTGATTATAATTTATTAAACATTTTTCTTGATTATACTTTCTAAGCTTTGACTAGATTATTGTAAAGATTTATTTTAATCTTATGTAATGGATTATATGTGGATATAAATATATATATATGAAATAGTATTTCCAATTTCTTTAAGAAATACTATTTCCAATTTCTTTAGGAAACAATAATTTATTTACTATATTTATAGATAACATAAAAAAAAATCAATAAATTCCTTCTATATTGTCTAAGAAAGGATACAAAATACTTTATTTATATAGTCTTGTCTTGATTCTATTGGAATTAACTATTATTTTGTTAACTAATACATAGAAATATAGATTACGTTATGTATAAAATATAAAATATAAATGTTAGCATTAATACATTTTTTGTTAGAATTAAATAGATTGCGTTAGAAAATTCTATAATGAACTGCAATTGATCTTAATAATTGAAAAAAACAAAAAAATCTTTGATTTTTCAAGATACACCAGGAGTCGAAGATACAGTAATTTTACGTAAATGCCATTGCAGTAATCGAGTAATTTTTAACTTCAAAATAAAATAAAATATATTATTTATAAAAGATTTCTTTTATAAAAAATTTTTATAAAAGATTTTTCTTTGCATTAAGGATGTTTCAGTATAAAATATATTAAGTCCTATAAATAATTGTCATCAGCAAAACTAAAATGCTCATGTATTTTAAGTGCACAATATTTGGAACTCTCATGGACAAGACTTTTAAAGATTTGAATGTGTAAATACCTAAGTTTTGAATAAAAAATGACAACCTATTTCTATAATGTAATTCAAATTAATTTAATTTATGATTATTTAAACCGTAAAAATATGTACTTCCTCGATGTAGAAAATATATATGATTATTTATTAATATTATTCCAATAAGAAAAAAGTTATAATATAATTTCAGAAAACCAATAATGGTGATTAGTAAATTATTAGGCACACTCAAAGAAATATTGAAAATCAAATTATTATTATTTATTGGTTACCATAATTTCAATAAAATTTAAATTGAGTAGAAATGCACTTTATCTGCATTATGCTAATCAAGAAGTTTATGGATATAACATTTTCTACATACAAATAAATAGAAATTTCATAGAAAGAGATTATAAAGCTATTTTAAAGCATCCTTTATGTTATAATAAGATAATCTAATATTTATATATTTATCTCAAAAATTTTTTTACACAATTAACAGAGCAATTACTTCCAATATATATCAATTTAAATACAGTTAACTCATATATGGAATCAATTTATAGGAAAATGGTACAATTTAATGATAAATATTTTATAGTATTTATATATGTTAACTGAATAAGATACTCAAATAGAAGAGTGAAAAGTAAAGAAATTAGGTTACAAAATACTACATATTTTATTCTAAAAACTGAATTTTTTAAAACATCATTTAAATTTCTTGAATATATTATGTGGATTATTTTGAAAGAATTAAAATTTTTATAAAATGCACTAAGGTATTGAGTGGTAAAGTTTATTCCGAAATAGTAAGTTCAAAGCGACGCAGTTTGATGGAAATTCTAAAATTTGATAATATTATTAGACGAATATATTAATAGAAAAAGTATTTAAAGTTTAAAATTTTAATTTTCAAAAGGTTCCAACAAGATCTGTCGACGTAACATGATCGCAAGGATTAATTTTTTAAATCAAGTACTAAATTTATTTGCATGAATATAATATTTTTCAAATACGTGTATGAAGTTCCTACAGTATATACATAAGTAGCTTTAATCTAATTAATAACGAAAACTATAACCAGCTTATTTAGAAAATAAATTTAAAAATTATATCTGTAACATAAATATTGTTAATAAAAAAAACTATAATAAGCTTATTTTGAAAATAAGTTTAAAAATTGTATACGCAACATAAATATTGTATATTGAGTACAGTTACCGAGGTATTACTAACGATTTTAAATACTATATTTGAACAAGCTTTATCCAAATGTTGATAGGTATACCGAGACCTTAAATAAATTTACGCGACAAGTGTGTGACAATACAATCCAAGAAAAAATAATACTCGATCTTAATAAAAAATTCAAAATAAAAAGTTAGAAGATGTTATGAGAATGATAGAAGCTTGATAGTATAATCTTTATTTATGTACAATACTTTGAACTTGAAACATAACATTATTCATTTTAAAAGTCAATACTGAATTGCTATTTAAATCATTAATTTTAATTATTTAACTTTGAATAAAAGAATTACTTTTTGTAATTATATGAAAAATGAGATAAGTTTAATTTTCTAGAATGACAATTTTGTCGCAAATTAATTTTTCTGTAAAATCGATCAAATGAAAAATATGAAAATTTTTATGTTAACTAACACTTCTTGTTTGACTATGCTAGTTGAATTGACTTGAAATTTCAATTAATATTATACCACTTAATTATAATGAATTTTTTTATTGTAGACTTGAATTTTTTTAAATTTTTAATATTTCATCTTAAAAATAGCCGTTAAATA